TATATATAGTTTGTTTCTATGAGAAGATTTGTTCTGTTTGAGACTGAATGACCCAAATAGAACATCTTACATAATCTGTTACAACACTTTATAATTTGATATATTTGTATATTTTTTGTTCTGACTGAGTTTGACGCTGAGCTGTCGTGTCAGGTCATTGAATCGAAGCGTGAACGTTGGAGCAGCGAAGCTTTCTTCTTCTCTGATTTCTTCACTGATGTGACATCACTGCTCTCTCTCCCTCTCTCTCCCAGTTGTTCTCAACCTCTCTCGCCCTTTAAGCCTCTCGCTCTGAGACACATCAGTGCTTGTTTCAGTCTGCAGGAGGAAAGTTTCCAACTTCCTGCTTTTGATGTAAATTCCAGGTTAAACTGGACAAACCAATAGTTTTAAACTCATAAACAACAAATCAATAAAAGTGTTTGCTTGTTGTAGTAATTCAGAACATGAGTGTCACAGAATAAGGCGCAGTATGAGAGCCAAAATTTAAGATTATTGCTCAACCAGCATATGCTCCTTATAGCAGGAGGATATACTGTATCTATTCCTAAACCAGCTATTGATCTGATTAATACAAGGCTGGCACCGCTAACTGACAGGCCATAGCTGGCAAATGAGGAGACTATTTATTTGTGTTAGCATCGGAGAGGCTAGCGACACAAATCCTCTGAATATTTCCGACGTCTCCTCTGACAGATGGAGCTCTGTTCTCTCAGTTTCCCTCCATCCTGCTACTATGTCTCACTCCTCTGCTCGTCGTGATTAATCCGTCTGCAGATTTTAATTAACAGCATCAGCAGCTGGAAGGTTTGAGTGTTTTTGCTGACTCATTAAAGTGTAATCTTCACACTGAAGGAAGCATCTTTCTGTCAGAGCTTTTACTTTATGAAGTCTGATCTTCAACCTGAGGATTTCATGAAGTGCTCTATGGGGTGCCGTTTGTAAAGTTACACTAGGGCTGTCACGGTTAATCGATTAATCGACGACTAATCGATTATTAAAATAATCGATGACTAATTTAATAATCGATTAATCGTTTTCTTTTTTTTAGTTCTTTACTTTGTT